TGGTATCTCGAAGTACCCAGGCCTAGACTGAAGTACGGGTGCAAAGTGTCGCAGTTCCAGCTGGGTAAGTTTATGCGATGTTTGTGTATACTATACATGCTTATGCACACAAGACATTCTGCCACCAAAAGGAGCATGGCGTGGTAATGTACTCTCTTCCCGGGAGCTACTGCGAGCGATAAATGTGCGAATTGAGTGTCGAAGCAGACAATCAACTGCACGTTTGAGTACCGCCATGACGTGGCAGTTTCGTCAGCAACAACACCAGCGGGAGAACGAATCCCGGACAGTGCGATTTTTTGAGAGCCTTGCCTTCAAAGCCCCCGAAAGCTTGCCGCAGCCAACGACATGATTCGAGACTTCAAATGACAGTGCTCGAGTGCGCGAAATAAAACAATGGTCCTGTCAGGTCCAGTTCCTTGAGCAAGTGGGCAGTGCGTCCGAGGCGCTTTGGAACAAGAAACTGATGTTTGAATCAGAAGGCTGCCTTGGAAACTCGCCGTGCCCAAGTACGTGTCCGTAGTCCTAGAAGCCGCTAGCCAGGGCACGTGGTCATAGCTCACTTGTAGGCTCTTATTGTGTGTCTAACCAAGTTAGAGCCTTAGTAACGCACAGCTGTGCTCACTTTTAGTTCAAGATGTGGATGCGTGTGTGGGTTCGGTCAGCTTCGGCTCAACAGCATCCGCATGGCAGTGAAGTCGATTCCTGAGCAGGTGTAGTCATGACTGAGTTTAGGGTAATCAGTAGAGACAACCACATCTGCAATGATTTTCTCGGAAAGTGCCCCTAAATTGTCTCTCAATCCCGTTGGCGTGCTTGACATGTTCGGTTGCAGCATGAGGGTGAGCGGCCCAACACGGGCTGAAAATTTAACAGGGTTAGCAACAGTTCCAATGATATTGCCGACCATCGCTCTCTGAAGCCTATCAGGAATAAGTAGTGTTGGCCGAGAAGTGACGAGAGCGCACCAGCCTTCTCTGTTTGCGAGATGGTGCGGGCCGTTTGGCCCTGAACAGATGGGCAAAGGCGGTGGCAAAGGACGCCGCAGAGGTCTGTTGAACTTCGCGAGCCAGGCCGCGGCCGCATCATGGCGCATGCGTTTGCTTACCTTACTTGGTGTTTGCCTCAAGCTGCTGCACAGCTTCTGCCAAAGTTGTAGGGGATTGCCAAACATGCCTTGCTATGTTTTGCCGACGTTGCTGGTTTCGCACTTCCGGAGCAGATGAAAGTCTGAGTAGTAGAAGCCTCCAGGGTCTCAGTGATGCGGACATCGCACGGCCACCCGGCAGCAGAGCGCTGGGGAGTGGAGGCGGCCTGAGGCCTTGTCGGCACTCATCGAAGGGAGCAGGGCAAAGGATCACTGACCACGATAGGAGTAGCCGGAGAGAGTCGTTCGGCCTTTCTGGGCGTTTGGATACGCTACAAGAGGGAACTCCAGACGTGTGTTATGTGCATTATGTATCCGCACTGCAGCTCAGAGGTTGGATCTCTGCGCAGAGTATGGCAACGACTACGAAGAAGTGGACTTTTCGGCATCCCGGTCTTGAGTTCTGTTGGATTGAAAGCAGTGTTAGCTGTGCACAAGGAGGCCTAGGAAAAAGTGGAGCGAAACTTAGCCGCGGGGATGGCATGCACCATACTCGCATAACATCACGTGCGCAGGGATTGCCTTCTGAATGCTGACTAGCAGTTGAATCGTGCCAGTCGAAGCTGCTTGTCCTGATTGTTAGTAGTACAACCTGAAGCAGCAATAGAGCTGTTGCCACAGCAGCAGGATTGCCCACAGGAAGAGAACACAGCATGTCCCTGTACTGTGCAGCAAGGACAACAGCTTCTCTGGCCGTGGCTTGCGCTGTATCCTGGATCTTTGCAGTCGCTGCCGTCGACTCCAGGCAAACCTGGTGACAATCTGAGGAAAAGTCGCGGAAATGCCGAAAGATGTAAATTCCCAAACTGGGTGCGTGGAACGGAAACCACTTTTTGCTATGAATGATTCCACATCCTACTGGTGGCAAACCCACCATTCAGAAAAAAGGTTTGCGTCAAGGTTCTTGAAGCACGAAGGCAAGCTGAGACGAGCCAACTCCTCTACGAAGCTCCGCAGAAAGCCAGCCGAGCCCACCCAGAACTGATGAACACGCCTGCAGCACCACCAGCATCTCCATGAAAGTCGACAGAAGTGTCGACGTCGACGAAAAAGCTTAAATCGCTTGTTTCCGGTGCGCGGAAGCATGCGCAACGACGGCAACGTCGACTCGGAATTGCAGAGCCAGGCTTGGTAATGTTCGGAACGAGCTTGACGTGATGTGCTAGTGACCCATGATGCCACTTGCACCAACGTCCAACATAACATCGATCCACCCGGGCCACAGGACCAGGCAATGGCCTTTTGCAACTGCTTATACAGATCCGCTTGCCTTTCCAATCCCCCAATGTGCGTTTGAGGCACAACCGGAATGGAATGGCTCTCCAAACGCCTAAAATGTCTCGTGTTCTGAAATCTCAGGCATTCTTTCTTTGCAGGTCGCACATCTTTATGTTGGTTTTTTGACGGAAGCAAACTGCATCCTTGCACCTGTGGAAAGTGTGCATGCATGTCTTCGCCATTACGAATCACCTTGTGGAAGTCTGGTCGCAGGAGGTCGCAAGTAGCTTCACTGTACTCTTGCCAATGCCAGCATCTGTCCACATGGAAACCAGGCAGATAGGCTTGGCTTGCCCGGCCTCGCTCGGCGAGGTCCTCAAGCTGTTCAAGAACGACCTCGATGATGACGGAGCCGCCACCTGACCTTGAAGCTTGGGTATACCCGGTTAGGTCTGCAGAGCAGATTCTGGAATCCATTGCCCAGGAATTGTTGGCGCGATTTCTGGAGCACTGCCCAAACCTGGAAGAGCTCCATTTGTCTCACAACAGGAGCCATGGACAGCGGACACCTGACATCCCTTCTGCTTCAGGGTGCTTGTTTCAGAAGTTTGTCGGATCAAAGCCCACAGCAAAACTCCGATGCGACCAGTGTAACTGGAAACATTTCTCAGCCACCGGCCATGCTTTCATACTTTCTTGCCTCGTGCTCGGAACGAAACCCCAGCGCCTCCTGCTGAAGCCTGCGAGGATCTCGAGCACCGGGGCGCTGAGCCTCATCTCTGCCGGCAGTTCCTGCCGACGAGAGGGGGATACCCCACTGTGGCTGCGCACTTTCGGCTAAAAGCAAGGGGAGACAAAACACCGGGTGGGTTGGCTGAGCACGACATCACACTGTATGTGCAGCACCAGGCAAACAGAGGCCGCTGATCAGTGCGGGGGGATGACGAAACCTGTTCAGGAGAAATGCCAACCAGACTGTGGGATCTCGTGGGGCCAAGATGGGCCAAGGTCTCGAGCACAATTGCCTCGAAAGTGTGGAAGAGGCAAGCCAACACTTGCCATGTGCTGGTTCCTGGGATGTGCCTGGCTTTTTACAGTAAGTGTAGAGCAGACAGGCTGACGCTTAAATTTTGTCAAGTCTCAGGCCGAGTCGTGGTTGTACCGACAGTACAGCGCTCCTGGGCCGCTTTGGGAAGAGTTTGAAAGCACTGAGGGACTCTCTGTCCGGAAGCCACCCAGGTTTGCTACAAGCAGAATGCGGAGTGCACGGCGAGGCACTGCAAGTACCGTTGCAAGGCACGGGGGGGTGTCTGACAGCCTGTTCTCAGCTTTGGCTGAAGCCCTCGTACTCCTGGCTTGTCGGCTTTCGCCTGAGATTCATGCGCCCTACATGGCGAAGCAGTCTCCTCGAGGCTCGGAGAGTGCCGCTCTCCTGTGACGTCGGCGAATCGCATGCTGAGGACATTCACACCAGTCACCCCGGCCGACATCGGAACCAGGCCAAGCCGCCACGGGAATCTCAAAGTCCGCAAGATGCAAGCTTTGATTCTGTGGGGATAAACGCAACGTTTGAGGCCGGAAGGCTGGAGAGACAACTTCCAAGCTTGCCCACATGCCACGCAGGGCGCCATCGCACCTGGTCCCATGCATACTTGCAGGACCGGGCAGCTGAGGAGGCCTGCCTGATTTAATTGCGCGTGTAGAGTCTCGAGTGAAAGCGACCCCAGGCGAGTTGCAAGCGCCAACGCTCCTGGCAAAGGCCAGAGGTCACTTCTGGAGCCTAAGAAGTCTGCAGCGGAAATTATATACGGTGGCAGCTCAGCGGGAGGCATGATGACGGTCGAGGCAGCGGTCACGAAGACCGAGATCGCTGGGACCGAGGTGAACACCGGACTGAGGAGCTGGATTTGAAGAAGGAGCCTTGAAGCCTTTGCCAGTAATTGAGTGCTACCGTGAGACGGAAGTACTCTGCTTCAAAGTGCTTGCAGCTTGCAAATGAAGGAGGGGCTTGCGGCGCAGTGCGCTGATGGCAGCCGCAGCCGGGACAAGCATTCAATTCCACGCGCTCGGGTCAACTTGGGGCTTCGGGATGTGCGCTCTTATCCATGTCCAAAGACCAATCATTCCGCGAGGGCTGACCTTTTCCTTTTTCTTGGTTTGCCGACTGCTGGATGTCAGCTTTCAGGGATTACTGTAGGGATTGCGAGAGATAACACTGCACTCTCGTGACCCCGTGGTCCTGGAATGACTGGGTGTGAGAATCTTGTGAGAAATCTGTGACTGGGCTCTGTGAGTTCGGGGAGGCCTGTGAGAAGAGGCTACGAGGGTCTGGTGAGAAACCTGTGAGACGTCTCTACGTAGGGGTTGCAGGAGAGAGCTGTGAGAATCCTGTGAGGACTCTGTGAGAAACCTGGCCGGTGAATCCCGTCCTTCACGGATTTCTCACAGCTTTCTCACGGACCCTGGCCCCCTGGACTTCATTTCTCATAGGTTTCTCACAGAACCCGCCCACAGATTTCGCACTGAAAAATGTAGTTCGACGATTTCCAATGATTCCACGCCATCGGGGGTCACAAGGGCACCCATCACCTTAGAGAGCTCGACACCCTCCAAGCAAAGGTTTGCAACACGGTCCCTCATTTGGCGGCGATTCTCGCAGACCGGAGGAAGCCGCAGCCGAACAGCCCGGTGGATCTCGTGCTCGGCACGGCAAATAGAGCGTAGGATGGGGGTTCTGTGTTCTGACCGCAACACATGCGTCTTGTGCCGGACCCTACAGTGCGTCAAGCCGGGGTGTGTGGTCGGGGCTTCCCGGCGTGAGTGCACGTATGTGCGTACATGTGCCGCTGTCTCTCCATGCCTGTGGCCTCTGCTCCTCGGCCAAGGAGGAGAGGTCGTAAAGGGCGAGGTCAAGGAAGAGGCAGCGAGAGGGTTGCGAGAGGTCAGACGATCAGTCACCTGACCTCCCGATCCTCCGGTGCAAGGAGTCGGAGGATGATGTAGAGATTGTGCCACTTTGCTGAAAGCTGGGACTTCGTCAGATTGAGCCTTTGAGGTACATGTAGTGGAGTTTTGCCAACACCGTCTTGCAAAGTCCTGCAGGGAGCCCGGCAAAGGCTCGGATTCCCCGTCCGAGCTCCAAGGCTCGGAGCTCCAGGCAACTTGCTTTTGACAGAGAGCCTGAATTCTCCTGAGCCTCCTGACAAGGGGAGGGTTCTGTTTCTGCCTGCCCGAAGGCATGGGAAGCTGCCCTCCGACGATGGGAGGCCCAGATTGACAGCGGATGCATCTGTTAACACGCCGTCTACGGTGCCTGCATGTCTGCTACCACAGTTCCCATGTAGCGGCCGATATCGAGCCCAGTCTTGAGCTGGGGAGGCCCGTCTCGACACGCGGGAGAAGAAGATCCGGGTTCGGAGCCTAGAGCGGCCCAAAGGTCATGGCCATGCCGAATCCACCGAGGCCTTGCAGTCCTTACTACCTCGCGCGGCCCGCGAAAAGCTCGCACAGCTCGTACCGCCCCAGGCCCAAAGTCCGGAGTAGAGTCGTTTGGGTGTTTACGTAATCCTTCCGGCCAAACATCCAACCATGCCCTACTCTCAGGTATGGATGTGGGATATCTTCTGCTCTGGGCTCCGAAAGGAAATTAGAGAAGAAGTATCAGGGCCGACCACTGGTGGCAGTAGCAGGGGTAGAAGTAGAAGTACTTAGCTGTTAGTAATACTTGTAAATAGTTTGTCCTTAGTGCTTCGATTCGTAGTTGGTAGTTAGTAGCTCCATTGCAGTGAGGAGTAAGTGGTGAGTAGTACGTGGTAGGACCTAGGTAGTGGCAGCAGCAGCAGCAGCAGCAGCAGCAGCAGCAGCATCGCAGCAGCATCGCAGCAGCAGGAGGACGAGCAGGAGCAGTAGCAGGAGCAGGAGTGGTGGCAGTAGTAGTGGTAGTAGTAGTAGTAGTAGTAGTAGTCGTCGTCGTCGTAGTAGTCGTAGTAGTCGTAGTAGTCGTAGTAGTCGTAGTGGTCGTAGTGG